TAGGCTTTGGCCGTATCGCAAAGATTCTGTAGGGAGGTATGTTCTCTTTTGTTTATTTCAAAAAATACGTTAAATTCTTTCTTTATCATTTCAATATATTCTTTATCTCTTAATATGGTATTGTTAAATGTCCATCTTCCAATTTTCCTCTTTCCTTTCCATTTAATTTGAATGGGATTATGGCCAGCCCATAGATTTGGCAAAATCTCGATCCTTTCAATATTCTCCATTAACCCAGGGTCCATCCATATCTGATCTATTCTGGACCAAGAGTAGTGGGGGTTCGAAAAAAGGTATATTGTTTTTTATTTGGATTTAATTCTCTCCACACATCTTTCAAGGTAAGTTCTCTTACCATATTATTAGAAGACGAAGGGAGTATTCTCCTTTCCTTTTTTTTTTTTTTTTTGGAAGTTCTATAATCTTTATCTTTGTCTGGGACTGCATTATAGTCTCCTACAATGCATACATTAGCATTCTCAGATTCTATTATCTTATGGTGAAGCCTATTATAAAAGTCTTTTCGGTTTGTATTTGGGGCATATATTGTGACTAATAACATCTTTTTTTGATTTACATTTATTTCTATAAAGAGCATTCTCCCTTCTTGATCTTTGTATATTTGTTTATGTTGCAACCAATTCTCAGATTAATAAAATACAACAAACTTACTCACTATTGTACATTGCCAATGAAAATGACAAGAAAATTGACATAACAAAATAATTTATTTTCTTTCATTATCAGTTATTTGTTCAGAGCCTGTTGTGTGTAATTGTTTTCATAGGGCTGTTGTTACAGAAACTGTAATTGTTTAGTGTTACTGAAATACTCTAAATACTTTATTTCAGCAGAGTTTAAGCATTTTTATCCTTACATATATTTACCCAATTTTTTAAACAGATATCCTACTTCATCAATCCCTCATATTTTTCCATTTCTCCTTTGAGATATTGTAATTTTACAATATATTATTTTTAACTGCATGTTCTTTTATTTTCTAATGCTCATTGGACCAGTTCTATTATTTTTAAGGTCAATTGGATGATTTCAGCAACTCAGCATCATAGCATCCTATTTTATTTATCTTTTCTTTTGTCTTAATGAAATTAAAGTATTCATACAGTACAATGAAAATCTTTGCAAGCATCTCGGGATTTATCACTTTATTCCTTGAGAGAGTTGACTTACTCACTAAGTGCAATCTTCTAATTTTAGCCGGTAGGCAACTATTTATACAAATTAGGATCTGTATAAGATATTGTATATATTGGGGGGTTTCCCTGAAGCTCTGGTGAATAGTAGAGCCATGGTCTTGGTCATAGCTAGGAATAAATATGTGGCAGAGACTTGGACTGGATTGTAGTGGTACAGTGTGATAGTGAATCCCATAGAAACTCCCGATACACTAAAGAGCTCCAGGAGATGAAATGACAGAAAAGAACCTAGAGTGCAACTGGCAAAAAATGAAACAATATTGGGCACAGGTAAGTGCCTTTATTTGGGCTTACCTTGTGATGGTAATAGTGGCAAATTATGTGTACTTTTACTTTTTTTATTGTATTTGCAATATGGGCTGGTAGTCCCATTTGTAGAGACCAGCTCCCTCATGAGTAAAAAGGGGTCATGGGAGCCCTTGATTTGATGCTGTGAGGAATATGCTCAGCATCAGTCAAACAAAGTTGCTTAGTTTCAGAATTGGGTAGGGCCTATGGAAATGACACATATGAGCTCAGTTACATGGGAAAAGTTTGATCAGATCAATCAATGTACTTGCTGCTGTTTTACTACTAACACTGATCTCTCTCTACTGGTTGGTAAAGGACCTCTAGGAGGTGACATGTGGTTGGGTCCAAGTGTTGATTAATAGCTTATTGCAGGAGGGGATGGTGCTCCTACCTTAAAGAAGAGAGTGGTCTTGTCAGGAACCACTCGTTGAGCCCAATGGTGCTGGATAACTTTTGCCAAATTTCCAACTTTATCCTTTTAGGGAAGGTTGTTGAGAGAGTGCTAGTTGCACAGCTTCAGAGAGCCCTGGATAAAGAGAATTAGTCAAACCTTTCTCATTAGGTTTCATGCTGGGTGACAATATTGAGATAGCATTGATTGCGCATGTGGATGGCCTCTGGAAGTCTTGGAATGAGAGTAGTGCATCTATCCTAGTCCTTGTGGATCTTTTGTTGACTTCCAATACCATCAATGATGGTATATGCCTGGGGCAGCTTTAGGGGATGGAGGGAATTGTTCTTCGGTGGTTCTCTTTCATTTATGGCCAATTCCTTTCAGTGTTGGTGGTGGCATAGAGGTCTAATTGTCTGCATTGTGGGGTGTCTCAGGTTTCAAGTCTCTTGTCACTCCTTTTCATTCATGAAAATATCATATAGGACATGGGGTTACATGGCATGAGATTACATGTTTCCAGTGGTGGGATTCTAATTTTTTTTCCTACCGGTTCTGTGGGCGTGGCTTGGTGGGCATGTCAGGGGAAGGAGACTGTAAAATCTCCAGTCAGAGGTGGTATTTGCTGGTTCTCTGAACTACTCTTTACTACCAGTTCTCCAGAACTGGTCAGAACCTGCTGAACACCACTTCTGCATGTTTCCACCCTGTGCCAGTCAGCAATGTTGTTGAGTTGTTAACCCAGTTTCTAGAAGCTATGAGAGATGATGTGGCCCTAAATGCAGTACAAGATGGAGTGGCTCTGAGTTTTTGGCTCCCTTGGATCTGGTGGAGTATTACATTCATTTTCTGATGGTGTAGCATTTGCCCAGACAGAACTAGTAGTAATATGGGGGTCTTTCTGGATTTACTTGCTCAAGGAGTAGATGCCAGCCATGCTTAACTTTGTACAGATTCATCTTATGCACAAGTTGCACCCATCCTTTCAAAGACTTGCTCACATTCACTTATGCCTGGATCACTTTCTGACTGGATTATTGCACCACTTTATATGGGACTGTCCTTGAAAATCACCAGGAAGTTAGAACTAGTCCAGAATGTGGCAGCACATGCAGGTTTGGAAACCTTCCAGTTTGTCCATATTGTGCCATAGTTGTGTGAGCTGCACTTCCAGTTTTTTTCCAAATACAACACAAGGTCCAATTGATCACCTTTAAAGCGTCTGAATGGGATGGGGCCAAATTATTTGCAATACTACCTCTCCCCAAGGGAATCTGCCCCTTCTACCAAGTCAGATAAAGTGGGCATGCTCCAGGTCCCTTCCTTTAAATGTGGTATCTAAGTGACCTAGGAAAGTTGCTTCTCTGTAGGTGGGGCGTCATTCTAACCTTCTGGAAGGCCTCAAAAAGCTTGCTCTTTCCCCAAGCATAGGGTTAAGATGAGACTGGAGCTCAGAGAATGTAACCGTTTATACAGTATATTAAGGAATGCTGATTTGGAGCACTGTGAATTTTTATTTTCTTTTGCCTTTAATGTTTTCTTTGATGTTTATTATTGTTTCTATGAGTGACCAAGGTTTGTGGTACATAAGATGGTGGCCATGTATTTTTTAGATAGATGGGCATCCAACCATAATTACTTACATGTCTACATACATCTACAATACTAACAAGCTCTGGAAAAATGTCAGTTCAGCACTATTTTGGGAGTTTCCAATTTACTTTCAGATAATTTCTTCTTTTGACCAAATCTGATCTGTAGCCTATGCTCAATATGAGTCTAAATAGTTTACATGAACTGTTTCAAAAATGTTATTGACCTTAGCCTCTAGTGCGGTTAGAATGTATACATTATACATAAATTATAGGCAAAATCAAAGCTAAAAAAATTATATCCCTTCTGCCTCATATAGAGGGTAAAAAGTAGATCCTATGTTTGATAATCCACAATTTTCAATATACTGTATGTATAATACAGTTTGAAAATCATTTAATCTACTTCAGGAATACAGGAACTGTCAGTCACTCCCAAGATTTATAAATAGCCGCATGCTTTTCTGTTTTTTTCAGATAAAGAAATATATTGGAAATGTTATGGAAAAGAGGTAGTAAAAGTATAAGAGAAACATGGAAACATATCTATGGAAATGATATGAACTGAAAATGTAGGGCCCAAGTCAGATGAAAGATTATGGCAGCAGTGAAGTGCTGGATTTGGAAGCTAAACAGAATCAAGCCTGCTTAAAACTTGCATTGGAGACTAGCAGGAAATTCTGGGGTTCTAGGCCACACTAGTCCAATATTTGAGGGGCTGCTACAGGGAGGAGGGGGTCAAGCTATTTTCCAAAGCACCTGAAGGCCAGACAAGAAATAATGGATGGAAACTGAACAAGGAGACATTCAACCTAGAAATAAGACATTTTTTTTCTGACAGTGAGAGCAATCAGCCAATGGAACAGCTTGCCTTCGGAAGTTGTGGGAGCTTTCAAGAAGAAACTGGACTGCCATTTGTCAGAAATGGTGTACAGTCTCCTGCTTGGGTGATCTACAAGGTCCCTTTCAACTCTGTTAATCTAAACACTGGGAAATGGAGAAAAACATCTCAAAAGGCAATGATGCATTTTTTTCTATCGTTGCCAAGAAAACTTGTGTATGTCTATTTTATAGTCTGGAGGTCACCTAACTAATTTATTTTTTCCATAGAATGGATGCATACCTTCATAATCTATTTTCTGTTCCGTTTAGGCTCGCTACTCATAATAGAGACAATGCAGGGGAATGGGGTGCATTTACTGCTTTAAGGCAGAGGTCTCCAAACTTGAATTCTGGGAGGTGAAGTCCACAAGTCTTAAAGTTGCCAAGTTTGGGGACTCCTGCTTTAAGGTTTTAATCATTACCTTCAAGGGAGAAAGCCCTATGCAGAAAACACCAGGCTCTGTTAATTCATCACATGAAAACAACAACAACCAATTTTATCTTTATTAGGATAACGCATCCTAACTTTAAAAAAAATAAACTCAGTATAATTTTTTTACATTTTTTTAACTCTTATATACATATGGATATTTATCTACAGTTGTTTTTATGTGTGTGTGTGTGCAGGAAACTACACCAACAGTTCGAAATGTATAAAGAACAGGTGAAGAAAATGGGTGAAGAATCACAGCAGCAGCAGCAGCAGCAACAGCAGCAGCAGCAGCAACAACAGAAAGGCGATGCTCCAACCTGTGGCATTTGTCACAAAACAAAATTTGCTGATGGCTGTGGCCATAACTGTTCATATTGCCAAACTAAATTTTGTGCACGTTGTGGAGGACGAGTGTCTTTACGTTCAAACAAGGTATGCATATCTTATATAAACTTTTATTCTGACGTTATTTCATTTGTCTACCACAAGGATCTTCAAACTTGGCAAGTTTAAGACTTGTGGACTTCAACTCCCAGAATTCCTGAACTAACATGACTGGATGAGGAATTCTGGGAGTTGAAGTCCACAAGTCTTAAAGCTGTCAGTTTTGAAGACCCCCTGGTCTATCACTTCTTTCAAGACTGAGAGCCACGCTCTATTTGGCATACTTGGGACTGCACTCAGAGGTGGTATTCAGCCAGTTCAGACCAGTTCTGGCATACTGGTAGTGGAAATTTTGAATAGTTTGGAGAACCGGCAAATACCACCTCTGGCTGGCCCTGCCCTCCCACCCCCACACTTTCCTGCCTATATTCCCTTGTTTTTATCTCAGCTGATTTGCAGGGCAGAGCAGATTGCAGTGCCTCAGCTGAGCTAAAAAACAGCTCACCTCATGAGCGCTGACACAGAGGGCGGTTTTTGAGTGCTGCGCGAAGCGAACCGCACACTCATAGAACCGGTAAGGAAAAAATGTGGAATCCCACCAATGACTGCACTACATACTGTAATGGGTGAGCTCAAAACAAAATTTGATTTCATTCAGAGATAGATAAAACTAAATATATAAACAACCTGTGGCCCTTGGTTCATCATTTCAGAGATAATTCCTCACCAAAGTCGTCCAGGCCTTTAACAACGGCAGAGTTGCTAATATTATACTGCCTTCACTGGAAAAGTTCTTAAAAATGTAGGGAGATGTTAAGAGATGTATCCGTCCTTAAAATAGCCCATGTTGAACTGTATAGAATTGTCAAACATCAATAATTGACCACAGGAGATATTTTATGATCTTTTATATTATGTGATAAAATGCTTTAAGAACATAAAAGATTTTATAAAATTTGCCAAATTCCACGGGACTCATGGGTCTCAAATTTTAAACATATTCATTAAATTTCCCATTTGAGGTACCTTGCTTCAATAAGTTTTGCCTTTATGATGCACTGTTCTGTCCAGTTAAATGTTACAAATGCAAAGAGTAAAACCACAAAGTAAAAGTACAAAATTTTAGTAGTATATAGCTTGGATGAAACCATTTAGGCACTGAGTCCAATTCCTGAATGGATTAAAATAACTTTTCTAATCCCTGATATGTGTTCAATTATATTCAGCTTTAGTTTCCCCTTTTTATTAAAATTCAACATTATGTGGCTACTTTCACCAAACATTCTTGCTACATCAGTTTTCTTGACTAAGTAAATAAAATGTACAATTATTATTTTCAAATCAAGGATAGCTGATTCTCTTGTATCTTCCTCCAAACTCCAAGGGAAAAAAGATTATAATTACTTCTCAGTCATGTGCTTAATTTTCTCCATCTGTCACTTTCTGTCAGGTGTTGACTTGAAGGCTTAAATATCCCTTTCCAAATTTATTGTTTCTGTATTTTTTAAATATTGACTTAGCTATTTATTTGCAAGTTTTGACTAAATGTGCAGGCAGTTATTAATTACTTTGTATCACATGCTTTTAATTGTTTATTTGTTCCTGATAGTCTGTGATTCTAAACTCTCTGAGTTTAGAAATATCCACGAAATGTTTCCTTACCTAAACAGAGGAACAGAAGGAGCCTGGCTGGGCAGAAAATCAGTGTGTGTGGGAGAGATTTCCAATTTCCTGATAGCTTTCCCATGTGCTTTCCTTGTGGGAAGCTGGCAGTGACCATTGGAAACCTCCTTCCCTGCCCTTCCCTTCCCCTAAGTGCCTGCTGCTGGGTAGGGGAGGGAGCAAGAGAGTGCACAAATGGCCAAGACAGCACAAGTATAGATGCACAAGTATAGACAACTTAGATCTCTAATGATCTAAGTGCTAGAGCCCACTGTAACTACATAGCCAAAAAGGCGTTAAGAGTTGTTAACCTAATCTTACGAAGCTTTTTCTCTGGTAATATTACACTACTAACTAGAGCATACAAAACATTTGCTAGACCAATACTCGAATACATCTCATCAGTCTGGAACCCGCATTACGTATCTGATATTAACACAGTTGAGAAAGTCCAGAAATATTTCACAAGAAGAGTTCTCCACTCCTCTACTCGTTGCAGAATACCTTATGCCACCAGACTTGAAATTCTAGACCTAGAAAACCTAGAACTAGATGGGGCCTTCGGTCCGATCTAAGTACAGTATATAAAATTATATATTGCAATGTCCTACCTGTCGATGAATACTTCAGCTTCAACCATAACAATACAAGAGCAAACAATAGATTCAAACTCAAGGTTAATCGTACCAAACTTGATTGCAGGAAATACGACTTCAGCAACAGAGTGGTCAATGTCTGGAATACTGTACCTGACTCTGTGGTTTCTTCCCCAAACCCCAAAAACTTTAACCTTAGACTGTCTACTATTGACCCTTTCCTAAGAGGTCTCTAGGAGACATGCATAAGCGCACCAATGTGCCTCCCGTCCCTGTCCTATTGTTTCTTTTATTTTTTTTATTTTTCTTATATGTATCCATGTATTCATAACTATGTTTTTACTTATACATCTTATCTTGTAAGCAATTGACAAACCAAATAAATAAATAAATAAATAAAACCCGAGGAAGGTGCGCCTTTCTCTATTTATTTTCTCCCTGCAAGTTTCACACATGCAAATACTTTTGATAGTGAGAGTATGGCAAGGAGCATCAACAATTATATCCATTCGCTCCATGTTCCATAGCAACCTCTGGAAAGCTGTCGAGAAACATTGAAAATAAGGATCACATGACCATGGCTGAGCATAGCACAGCATAACGCTGAACAGCAGTGGTGTAGCATCACTGAAATGGTAAAAAAAAAACAAAAAAACCCAAATTTCATTTTCTCAGGAGTAATTGTCCCAGCATTCTGTATGTTAGTTCACTTAAGATAATTTTTTTTTAATCAAGATTTTCCCTATGATGGGGAAAACTCAACTGAATATTAGAAAGTATTCACTCAACTGAATATTATGAAGTATTGAACAGTTACAAGAATTTTAGGAGTATATAGATATATGAATGTATGAACAAATAAACATATATTCCACAATTGTGATATAACAGTGAACTAAACTACTGTTTTGTCATATACAGTTGTTCCCGCCCTCCACCCCAGATATGATGGTTTCAACCTATCAACATTCTTACTTACTTTCATCATTAGAACATATTTAGGGAGTTTCTCACTCACTCATGGTTGTTTTGTAAAATAATTTTATTACTAAGAACCGTGGTGGCGCAGTGGTTAGAATACAGTATTGTAGGTTAGTTCTGCTTGATTGCCAGCAGTTCGATTCTCACCAGGCTCAATGTTGCCTCAGCCTTCCGTCCTTCCAAGGTCAATAAAACGAGGACTCAGATTGTTGGGGGCAATATGCACTGTGTAAACCACTTAGAGAGGGCTGTAAAGATTGTGAAGCAGAATATAACTATTATTAATAGCAGAATATAATTGCTATTATTTTTACATACTTCAAGATACGTCTAAATCTGCTGAGATCTCCGTAGGTTTTTCCTCTGAAAACTAAGTGTGAATTACAAAACAATGATGCATTTTTGTAATACTTTTGAGGAGTAAGAGAAGAGGGAATAATCCTATCATATAGCACTACATAACAGTTGCAAATGCATCTCTTGAGATAGATCTTGGCTGTGTCATCTGAAGTACTGGTTGAGACTAATATTTGGAGGCAAGTCGCTGTCACAGTTTATTTTGGTAGATATACTAAGGTGACCAACTTTTTTACAATGAGAAGGAGGACACAAATAAATTGAAGAAAAAAAACAAAGCCATGTGGCACACTCTTGCACGCGGCGCACTCAAAACAATTCTCCTGTGTGGAGCACATGTGTCTCATAATCCCATCTCGTGGCACTGTACGAGCCTTGACGAATCATCGTGTCAAATATAAATATGTCACATCACACACAACAGATTGGGTCGGCATCGATCAAATACGGAGATTTACAGATTAGTCTTCAAATATCAAAAAGGAGGACATGTAGGAGGACACTTTTCGAGAGAGGACAGAACTTACAAAAGAAGGACTGTCCTCCCTAAAGGAGGATGATTGGTCACCTTAAGATATATACCTCCCCAGTAAGGAAAATACAGCTTCTGATCTGATCTATTGTGAACTCTCATGTCACTCTCTTTCTATATTGAGTCAAGAAAAACCAGTGACTGAAATTAAGTGGCTAAGGAAGTAATGTGAGTTTTCTCATTCTGCTGCTTTACACTGGAATATCTGACAAAATAAAGGCTTATCAGCCTGATAGAATTTAGGATTAGTATTATGAGTGTCATGTAACATGATTTTAAAATCTGAAATTAAACTTGAAACATTGACATTGAAGTAAAAATTTGGAAGATCATAAAACCTGATTTCCCCCTAACCATTGGGATAGGATGAGTTTGGAAGCCTAGGGGGACTATTATAGAGTGTTGGGTGGGGAGCCAGAACCTTGTTTGGCTTATTGTGAGCCACCAAAGTTTTGGCTAATCATATAGGTCAAATAAACAAGTATTTTCTTAAACCTAAAACATGATTTTAAAAAAAAATTCAAAGACTTGTGCCTTGATTAAAAACGTTTACTGATTTGACAGATCAGATTTTGTGGGTTGAAATTGAGGGGGGAGGTATGAACTTTGCACAAGAAAGCAATATTAAAAATGAACATTTAAATTCAGCAGCATAAAATGTTAATGGTCCCGGTATCAGTATATGTTATGCATACAGATAGTACTTGAGTTATGACAGCAGCTGGGATCAGAATTTCTGTTACTTAAGTGATAAGATTGTGAAGGGTGACTTCAGTGACCCTACTGCTTAGCAGCTGCAATACCAGCAGTTCCTGTTGCTGTTGTTAACCAGATCCCACTGACAGTTAGCTGAGGACTCACCTTAATCCAAACTACCTGGTCCCTCCTAGTCCCAAACTTCAATAAGTAAATTCCCTCCA